ATTATGTACTATTAGAATTTATGCACTATTATGTACTATTAGAATTTATGCACTATTATGTACTATTACAATTTATGAACTATTATGTACTATTACAATTTATGCACTATTATGTACTATTAGAATTTATGCACTATTATGTACTATTAGAATTTATGAACTATTACAATTTATACAGTATTATATTCTCTTAGAATTTATGCACTATTATGTACTATTAGAATTTATGAACTATTATGTACTATTACAATTTATACAGTATTATATTCTCTTAGAATTTATGCACTATTATGTACTATTAGAATTTATGAACTATTATGTACTATTACAATTTATACAGTATTATATTCTCTTAGAATTTATGCACTATTATGTACTATTAGAATTTATGAACTATTATGTACTATTACAATTTATACAGTATTATATTATCTTAGAATTTATGCACTATTAAGTACTATTAGAATTTAGGCACTATTATAATCAGTACCAATATGAATTGTTTGATAACACCAATAAAAGGTTCCATACTTGAAAGGACAGTGTCTGTTTCGTCATTAAAGCTACGGCTGTATCAAAAAGTTCCAAGTTGATGAAGTTCGAGTAAGTTTTCGCCACTATACACACAAGTCTTCGCCTCTACACACGATGGTAATTTTCCACTACCCGAACTCTGTTTGGTCTTCTAGCACTGTCATCTTGTCGTGAATTACCAACTGCACTTGCGAAAGGACGAATTAGGGACGAATTAAAGGACGAATTGTTTTTTTAGAAATCCATATAATCATTTATGCAGTGTTTCAAGATTTCTCGTCTTTCCCTGAAAAAAAAGTTCAAACTTCTGAAACATTTTACAATAGAAAAAAAAATCAGTACTTGTAAGCCAATACTTCTATTTGTCTTTTATTAAATATTACATTGTTAACAAAATAGATAGAAAAATTCATAAAAGCTGGTTTGATTCGTAAATAACGATGAAAAAAAAAATTTTTTTTTTCTGTTACCTTACTTTTAATTCAATTCCAATCCATTTCTCTTTTTTGAATGAAATACATTATGCCTTAAAAGTTACAACCTTTCTTGACTCAAACAGAAATATAAAAAAAAATCACAATTTCCTGTGAAAGAGAAAAAGTTTTATAAGAAAACTAAAAGTAAAGCCGGACTAAGAACCAAAATCAGGTCTCGTTGAATAAACAACACAACCTAATTAGGAGTTAGAAACTTTGTCTAAGATTATATGTAACTATCACACTATACTAATTAGCATGCCGCGAAAACAAATTTTTCAAGTTAAAGAAAAATAAAAACTTTTAAGATACTGGAAAGGGAAGTACTTCTTTCACTGTGACTGAAACGGGAAATTGCCATTTCGTACCTTGAGAAATTCATTTTAATAGCACGTGAAAAAAAAGATCGTTTTGATATGAATAGTTCTTGAACGCCAAAAGCAGATTTTCTTAAGTAATTAATTTTAAAATTGATACTTAAATATTTACTTATTATTATTTTCCTATGTAATGCATGTTAAATGTAAACTAAAATGTATGTTTCGTATATTCGTTAATGTATTGTAAAGATGTATACGTAAATGTTGTATTTTTGTTTAAAAAATAAAAATAATATTTTATTTAAAAAAAAATTGAAATGGCCAAGACGCAAATTGTTTTCTTTAATTTAATTAAAATGAAAAAATTCCCTGAAGTTCGGATTAAAAGTCAAAATCATTTGCTAGAAGATAAAATTTAAAATTTATTTAATATAGTTATTCATACAGGAAAAAAATCAGTATCATGCACATACATTTTCTATTTTAAATTGATGTCCAAAAATAGAATGTGCTTCAAATATTAAAGTAATTTATTTACCAGGAAACACATTTTGCACCTTAATATATATATATATAGCTTTCAAAATGTGAATCAATTTCAAATGTCACTAGCGCTTTGGCACTCCGTACCACAAGTTTCAGGTTCGGGTTCCGGCGGTGCCATGGATGTTTGTAGTGGTTCGGAATCAGCTTTAAACAGTAGATTCCTGTTCAACACGATCGTAGAGCGTTGCGGTGGTATTGTTAATCCGCGTCCGTAACTTATCTTCACCTCCTGGGTAGGGCTAAGTGAGTAACGTCGGTGCAGAGCTTGCCTTAAGGCGTCAAATACAAGTGTCTAAGTGTTTGCCAGCTGCATTAGAAAAAAACCATATAGAAGTCCTACTTTGTTGAATATATATATATATATATATATATATATATATATATATATATATATATATATATATATATATATATATATAAAAATTTTTTTTTAATTAAGTTATAAAATATTATCCTTATTTTTGATACTACAACATCTGTTCAACATATTTTTCCAAAAATTTAATGTTGAAAATAACTCATACATTTTATATCACTTTTAAAAAATTCAAAAGTAATATTATATATTTGTTAACAAAATGAGAAATGTTTTGAAATATATCAAAAATATATCTGTTTTGAAATATATCAGTGTTATGAGATTAAAAATTTAACTCAAAAAATATAAGTTAATTAATCTAGCTTAAGAATAGAATATCTTTGGTTCTTAACAATAAATTTGCTTTCAGTTACTTACGAAAGAAAAGTTGGTAAAATAAAATAAATTTCAAACAAATATATAAGAAAATCATTAAATGTGTACACTTACGAACAACATCAAAAAAAATAATTGCAAAACTCATTTATTTCCCTTTCATAATTTCGAGGAATACCTTTTCGCGGTTTCGTCCATTAATCTTTTTTTTTTGAGGTTTCAATTTAATTTTCATTTCAGCAACCATTTTGTTTTTCCTCTTGTTCCGTATGACTTAGAAAGAGAAAACAGAAAAAAAATCAAACTCATTTATGCTCGAACAACTTTTAACAATGTTCTTTTTCTCTATACAATGCACACGAATTTCGAGAACTCTCATATTTTATTGCAACAATGATATGTTTTTAAATTTGCTGTTCTTTTGTTTTTTGTACAATGTATCAAATACGGATAGTCCTACCGAAAGATTCAGCATGTTTTTCTTTGATTCTAGATTTAGAGACTTTTGCAGGGCATACCATAAATAAAATTGATAGCCTTTCAGCATTTAACATCTAATAGCATAAAGAAAATTTCCACCCTTTTCCAATCAGAAGTTGTTTTTTTTATTTAAATACGAGTATGCAATTTGTCCTTTTTTAAAGGAAAAGTTAGTTGGGGAATGTTAATTAATTAGAAGGTGTTGAAAATTGAAAAATTCTCCATCTTTCTCCACAATTTGTATCTGCACGTATGTGTTTTTGTATGTATTTGTATGTGTATTTGTGCGCGTATAATCTAGTATCAGTAGAACCATACATAATAAAAATGAAAGAAAACGTTTCATAAAGTCTGAAAAAACTTTTATTTAAAAAATTAATAATAAGAATTTTAATAATAAGAATGATAATAATTTGTTTAAGGAAATTATTGAAATTAAATATGTATTAGTATATTTTTAAAATGTATAGTAATTTAATCTTCAGTTCAATATTTGAAAACTATTCTTTATTTTCAAATAACTTTATTATAAGTAACGTATTTCAAATAACGTTATGTATTGGGTTTTTTTCCTTCTAATGCAGCTGGCAAATAGACCGTGATCTTTCGCCGTAAGTACTGCACCGATGTTACTCACTTTGCATTACCCAGGAAACGCGTGTAACTTGAAGATAAGCCACGGACGCGGAGTAACAATGCCCCCGCAGCGCTCTACGATCCTATTAGGACCGGGACCTACGGCTTAAAGTGGATTCCGAACCACTACAAACACCCATGGGCAAAACCGGGATTTGAACCCGATACCTGTGGTGTTGAAAGCCTAGAGCGCTAGCCATTCGGCCATCAGGCCTTTGTTATGTATTGTTAAATAACTTAAAATAATATATTAACCTTTAAAGTAAACATAACATTTAATGTTAACGTAAACATAACATTGTTAAAAGACTTTTTTTAAACGGTATTATAAATTTGACCCTATATTCTAAAAAAAACCAAAAGACATTCCAGTAAAATTTTAAAAAAAGCCAGTAGAATTTTAAATCGAAGCAGCTTAATAAATGTATGCATAAGTTTTTCTTCTTGACAAAAGTGCAGTTTCATCTCATTTGTTATTCTTTAATCTCGTGTTAGAATTATCATCCCTCTCTAACATTTTCTACTTTATATGCTCAGGTAAATTCAAAGGGATTTTAAATTTCAGTATTCAAAATATTTAATTTAATATATTTGATAATATATTTATTCCTCAATATTTTTTCTTACGGCTTCAACAATTATTTATTGAACATGTAAATTAAAATTTTATTATTTGTTTCTCAAAGCTGTTAATGTTGTAGATGTATTTCTGTACAAATCTAAGAAACATAAAACCAAACATTGAAAAAAAATGTGAATACAAATAAACGAACAATAACAATAAACAAATCTATTTTTTGGAATCCATTTCCTTCTCAAATTCTCATTTAAACTACAGAAACACTTGGTGACAGTAAATAAGTCGTTTGTGCCGAGAAGAGATGATTGCTTTTCTGCTAAACCTTTTTACAAAAATTCGGCCCAACGAATTTGGAGAGTTTATATTAACTCTTACAAATCCAGAGAAAGGGAAATGGATCTTCTCGGAGTAAATCACGGAAGCGAATCTTTCACAGTGGGAGAGGGGGGGAGGTTATTACGGGAGTCGAGTAATTTACGAGACCGCAATCCAGGAACATCGGCCAGGGAATGGTAAAGCCGTGCGAAATAGAATGAGAAATGGGACATTCTGTCGATACGGTTGCAGTTTGTAACAAAATAAACAATTTGACCTTTTTTTCGTTAAGAATGCCATGTAGAAAACTCCAGTGAATAGCGTAAAGTCTATAATTAAGAGTATTATTTATATATAATTATGTATTATGAATCTGATATTACATGTTTCATAGAGTATATACAAATGTACAAACGGCCAACGGCCGTACCATGCTGAATATACCGGTTCTCGTTAGATCACAGAAGTTAAGCATCATTGGGCGCGGTCAGTACTTCGGTGGGTGACCACCTGGGAACACTGCGTGCCGTTGGCAAATTTGGGACCTGAATGGCCGAGTGTCTAGCGCTCTGGCGCTCGGTGACACAGGTTTCGGGTTCAAATCCCGGCGGTGCCATGGATGTTTGTAGTGGTTCGGAATCCACTTTAAGCCGTAGGTCCCGGTCTCCTATGACCGTAAGAGAGTCACGGAGCAAAAGTCAGGCTTCTACCTACGGGTGCTCCATCACAACAGAAGCTGCTTCCTTCCCCTTCAATCATGAGTCCATATGGGCTCGTGGGCTTGGCCAGCCAAGTGGGATAAGAAACAACAACAACAAAATTTCTACTTTAGTATGTAATCATGTGTTTTTCACTTAAATTCATGGAATATATAAATATGTATATAATAATAAGTATGTACAAGTATACGTCTATATTGCATCCGCAATAATGAAAGTTTGTAATAATATTGTTATTTGTAATAATTTTTAATGGAATTGACTACTCATATTAAATGATCATAATATTCATTTCATTTAAACCACATTGGAATTTTGAGATTACACCCTTAATGGATCATGTTTTTTTTTATACTGTTTTGTTTAAGACAGTTATTTTACTGAAATAGTACAATTTCAAAACAATTTTTTTATCTATATTATGTGTAAACATAATATGTTGTCTTTACACATAATATGTATAAAAAATTGTTTTGAAATTGTAACTCTAGGGTAGAGGTACCCTAGAGTTTCTAAAAAAGTGAAGTTATGAAATAAATTTAAGTTCCTGTATAAGTTGTTATTCGAAAGATATTAATCTACTCGAGCAACACGATAAACTCTTATTTCGAAACCTTTTATTTAAGATAACCACTGATTTTACGTGATCTCATTTATGTGTGTTTTAAAACTGACATGAAATATGTGTTGCTAAATATAGGGATTGAGCCAATATCAAGTCGCATGGTCTGTAGTTCATTTTCAATTGCCTGGCTTTCAAAATATATTATTTCTATTTCCTGAAAATAGTGTCTAATGAATAGTTTATGTTTTATAAAAGTTAATTGAATCCCCACCTAACAGATTTCTTTGTATGAATTGGGTACTGCCTCTTACAGTACTTTAACAATTGCTTCTTCATAAAATTCTGGGGTTATTAAATTTTGCTATATTTTTGTCCTAAAGAATTTGGTAGTTTTTGTGGGCATTCTGCTCTTTAGAGTTTCGATTTCGCAAAAAAATAATAATAATAATAATAATAATAATAATAAAAATAATAAAATTTTTTGCAATTTATGAACGAATTCATTTAGGCAATTTAGGATTCAATTTTTTTTTTTTGCAATTTTTATAATGAATTTTTGCAATTTATCAATTTTGAATTGCTTTTTCATGAATAATTAATATTATAATAAATATTTTGCAAATAAGATCGCCCTGATTGCGTCAAGATGTGATAGAAGGTGATAATAATAGATAATAAATATTATATATATATATATATATATGTATCAGTCTTTTTTTTATTATCAATCAAATATTTTTTCAATACTTGTTGGAGACAAATGTTCTAATGACAAATGATTAGGAAGAAGTGGCAAAACTTTCCTTTGCTAAGCGAAAATGCGAAAGTGAAAAGTTGAAGATTTATTGTGGTAAGCAAAATGAATGTCTTTTCAAAGTACTACATCAAAGAGAATCGTTTAGCAATCTTTCAGCGTCAGCGAAAAGCGGCCAAACCCCTTTGGCTATTTTTATTGTAAAAGTTTCTGATGATCGAAGCTTTCTTGTCACAAAAATGCATCCCTTTCCATGAAATATTATCACATATCTTTTTAAATTTTTATTATTATACCATACGTTTTATTCCAAACATATTCTAAAAACAATAAATAAATAGATAAATATAAGACAATTTTTAAATTATAAATAGAATTATACAATATTTAAATTATTGAATATTTCATTACTGGAATTTTTAAAAATATCAATATTTACATTTTATTGGGTTTTTTTTAATATTAAATGTTTGTTATTTCTGGTTTGACATATGATGTGTTGAGATTTAAACTGAAATTATTTTGGAATCCTAACGTTCGACAAATTAAATTATGAGATTAATCGAACGTCTCCAATCAATGCAATACGTAAAACAAAGTTCTTAATAATACCATTTTTATTAAATTATTATTTAATCATTTAAAAAGAATCCTACAAATATTTTTAATTTTAAAAAAAGTGCATTAAATACAAAAATTTTACTTAAACGTTTAATGGTTTAGAAGGTTTAGAATTCGATCATTCTTTTTCCTAATAGAAAAAAGGATGTTTTTAGTTACCATAAAAAGGATCTTTATAATTCAATAATGAAGGCTCATTGCTTCTGTAAATAATTTAATTAATGCATATAATAGCATTTTAATTAACTGTCATTTACATATTTTTTTTGAAAAGTGTATCATCAGTTTTTAGTTTTCGTTTCCTTTTCCAGATGTTTTTATAATACAAAAGTGTTGACTAATTGAAAACTAATTACATTTTCTCTTCCTTCAAAGCAAAAAAATATACCTTTTCTTTTCATTTATAATTAATCTTTTATTAAGTTTATACATTTTTCCTTTGATACAGATTTTTTTTTTCTTTTCTCTTTTCATTTTCCATTACATTACGTTAATATTTTCAAATGTCGTGCACTTTGATCTATGGTTATTTGTTCTTAGAAACGCAGATATATATAGATCTACAACAGTAGTGTAGCCACACTTTTTGCAATGGAATTTTGAGTTAATGTCTCTATGGTTTATATTTGTATATTGTGGTCTAATAGACTTAAATACTGTGGTTATGTCTTTAAGTCTGTTGTTTTGTTGTTTCTTATCCCACTTGGCTGGGCCGAAAGCCCACAAGCCCATATGGACTCATGATTGAAGGGGAAGGAAGCAGCTTCTGTTGTGATGGAGCACCCGTAGGTAGAAGCCTGACTTTTGCTCCGTGACGCTCTTACAGTCATAGAAGACCGGGACCTACGGCTTAAAGTGGATTCGAACCACTACAAACATCCATGGCACCGCCGGGATTCGAACGAAACCTGTGGCACCGAGCGCC